CCGGCAAAAACGCCGTTTCAGGTCGGAGCACCTGGTGGATGACCTGTGCTTGGTCAGCTTTGACGCGAAGGCCCCTTCTTTCCCCCAAACGGGCCAACCCAATGGCCGCAGGGTTGGTTTGGCGGATATGAGCCAACTCTCTCAACTCAACCTTGGGTGCCCAAACCACAGAAAACTCAGCCAACACTTCCTTACCGTCTGGCGTTCTTGGTTCAGTGTAGGCACCAGAGGCACCGCTCATAGACAGGAGCACAGGCAAAATCGCAGCAGGAACTCGGAGACACACTGAGAACATTTCAGCTTTACTGGCAACCACCGGTCGAAAACCACTGCGCAGAAACTGACGTCTCCATACATCCATGATGGGATCCTTCAGCGGCAACTGCTCAATGTTGTGCCATGAGTCACAGGTACAGTCAGCAGTGTGGCAACGCGTCAATACAGGAAAGATACGCACAAGGTGTTTGATGGGTGAGGAGACAAACTCTTCCCAACTCATGGTGCATTCATCCCGATAAACCATCACTTTCACAGTCACCACATCAAGTTGGTCCAAGGAAATGGTCGAATCAACTGCTTGCTTTTCAATGAATCCTTCACCCAATTGCACAACCGTTACCTCCGTCAAAAGCGGTTCTTTGTTGGCTATACAGACACATGGGATGGTGACTCGAGTATGTGGCAAAACAGTCTCAACTTCATGTCCTGGTGGGCAGAACACTGCCAGAGCCAAAGGGTCCTTAGAAACCAACTTGCCAGCCTTCAGGTATGGAAGAGACTCCTCAAGAGAAATCAGCGCCACTCCATGAGCCAAAGGACCAAGCTGATTGACCGCAATCTGTGGAACATCATGTCCCGATGCATGAAAGACCTTTCCTGGTAAGGCCAATTTGGATGGGTCAACCATCTCCGGAAGAGCAGGGCGAGGCACAGGGACATTATTCTTCTTTCTGCGACCGACCGGCAAACTTTTGTTCTGAGCAACCACCGCTTCCAACTCAGCAGGCATCAGAAACTGGAACTTGTGATTGTTACCTAAGGCTTTGAGAGATCTCCAAACGTTCTTGGTCTGCAACGCTTGATGAACTTGCTCAAGGCCAAGTGCTTTCACAGCTTGTTGAGCTCTCTGCTCCACCACATCCTCTGGGACTCCATGTTTCACCAATTCAGCTGAAAGCTGCTTCACGACTGCTTGGTGGCCACCCAAACCCCATGCGACAGGGCAAATGCAACACTTCCCTTCAAACAATGCATGAACAAAACTTGCTTTCATATTGGAGTGGAGATCGAGGAGAGCCTCCAAACTGTCAGGTAAATCAGCGGACACCATGATATGACCCAAGAAGGCAATCGCTGCAGCACCACATAAGGAATGATCTGGTAAACGGTTCGGATGAGTGTTCAAGACCATCTCTTGGAATCCAAACTGCACACGCAAAACCTCAAGCAGAGGGACAACGACGACATGATCAATCACTTCATCACGAATGACATGTGCAACGAGGACTTTGCCATGAGGGACGATCCAAATTGGAAACCAATGCTCTTCATGAAGGAAAATGGCAACTATGTGAAAACCCTTTTCCTGCACAACCTGGTTTCGGCGGCACCACGATTCACACATTGTTGGTCCTATGGAATCCCATGTCGTGAGAAGCAAAGGGTCCATCATGACAAAGCCGGGAATACCAGAGAAACTGGAGTTCGCAACATTTCTCGGATGATTCATCATGTGCTGCAAATGAAACCTGATCTCATCATCCCCCCACATTTTGCCTTTCTGTCTGAGGAGCTCAAGTCTTGCTTCCTTATCAATACATTGATGGGAAAAGCACGTGTCAAGTCTGGGAACAGTGCCTGCAGGGTCTGCAGACGAAGCCTGCCCAGGTTCGTTCGGAAATTCATATGGGTCTGCATCACCTGCTCCCCAAATCCATGGGCGTCTTGCAATCTGGCACCTCACCACCTCCTGCCTATATGCCTCTCTGAGTCTGCAGTGGACAAGGTCAGCATCATCATTGTTGGCAGGGAGCATGGAATTGAAAACCGAGTGATGCAGGAAAGCCATGGCCAGTGCCCCACATTTGTCCGACATGAAAAAGAGTCTCTGATGTCGCAAAATCGTGACTTGATCAAATCCCAAGAGCTTGCCAATCTTTTCAATCACCACATTCAAGTCATCATGAGCGTGACTAGGAAGATCCCAAGTCGTAAACAGCAAAGTTTTACCATTGGGTGTCAGCACAACCGGGATCCAATGCCCAGCAACCACACACGCAGACAAAATGATGATGCCCTCAGCCAAGATCTCGGGATGATCCTTCGCCCAAATGTGACACAGACCAGTACCATGTTGAACCCACCCAGTCAACAAAAGTGGATCAAGCATCATACACTTCTTGTCAGGACTGGCGACTGTGTCAAATCTCTGTGCATTGCGAAGGTTCAGCAAGATACCAATATGAAACCGGAACTCATCATCCGACCACACAACATCTTGAGCATGCAAAATGGCAGCACGATCTTCTGACTTCAAGAATTGATGCCTCAGTGCCCAGAGATGTTTGGTGCCCTGGACAGCGGGTGGATTCAGTTTGAGAAACTGTTTGTCTTTCAAACCCAAAAGAGGGGCCGCAGAAATCCATGACTCACAATCCGGCATCACTCCCTTCGGCACTTCACATTCACCAGCATCAAAAGGGCCAAACGATCCCTCATGTTCAGTCATGGCAGGTTCATTTGCTGGAAAGGTCCAAGGCAAGGTGGGGCTGACGAAAGCAGCCGGTTCTTCACAGATTTGATGAGCTTCATTCAACTTTGGGGCAACGGACATACTCTGACTTTCACAGGGCAGCTGAGCAGTCTGGGACAAGGGCTCTTTGCGCACTGCGGCACAGTTGATGTGAACTACCTGTCCTGCTTGCAAAACATGTTCATCCCTAAGGTCATGTCCAAATTGATCACGCACCGTCTCAACCTGGAAATGTCCGGTCAATTGGGCATGTGCACAAAGCAACCTTTGCACAGTTTCACCTTCAGTCACTCTAAGTTCAACAGGCAGCGAGGCTTCATGATGGAAAAACAACCACACACAGGTCATGAGGAGCAACAACTTCAGACGTACCATGAGTTTCCTCAGGAGGTTCAAACCAAGGCGTTGGTTCATCACATGCATCATCATCAAGAGCAGTCATGGCAACATCTTGACATGAGAAAACCCTAGGCACCTGCGTCATTTGGTGTTTTCGGATCAGCAAATCAAGGACGGATGCAACGGAGACTGTACACGGATGCAAGTCAGGCCAGCGCAAAGGGGAAATCAACTCAGGCATGGACAGGTGCGAGACCTCTGACCAAAACTCAATGAGCGCGACCGTATTGGAATCAACAATTGGTTCATCCTTGGCAGGCCAGACCTGCCTTCCCCTCATCAAAATCCAAGTGACAAACGCTTGAATCTGTGCCTGAGCATTGAACTGAGTCGGGACACCACGGATTTGTTGCAATCTTTCTTCCAAGGCTGAGAAAACCCACGCGGCTTGCAAAGGAGACGCCATCTGACCTGCAGCTGAGAGTGTGAGGCGAGGAGAAGGACCAAAATCAATCATAGGGTCAAAGCCACACATCATCATCACCTCGTTAGGATGTGCATGTCTGAGTACCATGGGCTTCATCTCAGTCGGACATGATTGAAGGAGACATCCAAAAAGCCCTTTCTCTTTCAAACGATGTTCGGAGAGGCCAAACTTTCTGCATCCACAACTACATCCTACCACCTGGGAACCCCACGAATGCAATGCACACGGTGCAACAGACTCGAAATTGAGAAGGTATCTGCAAAATGAATCATTTTCGACCCCAAACGCTTTCTTTTCAATCTCATTCAATGCCAAATCATCTTCATCCTTCGAATCCCAAGGCTGAACCAAAGGGATTAGCTGTCTCACCTTAGTCACCACCTGCATCCTGGGCCAAGCAGTGAGAGGTATGGGCCCAATGAATGAAGATGTGATAAGCCACCATGCTCGGTTGCGCCTGGCTGGCCAAATGTCATCAAGGCGGAGGTCACACTGAGAAAGGCTGTACCCTGTGGCATCAAGGAATCTTTGGATTTCAGATTGCACAAAGACATTACCTGCTGCCGGTTGGACGCATTCCAACACCACTGCTTGAACTTGAAGCAAAAAGGCAATTGACAGGACACCTGTCAGGCAAGATGACCTGGGATCCATTTCACCTCTTTGATCACCTAGCATGGAGTAGGGCTGACATGCGAACCCCGCAGCTAATGTGCCGGCACCCTTGGAGACACTCCAAAGCTTCACCAGAGTATCCACCTGAGTCACATCACCTACGATCCGTTCAGCACCACACTGCATTCCATAAAGGCCAAGCATGCGTTCATTCATGTCAACTGCTGCAACTGGTCGAAAACCAACAACAGACATCCCTTGGTGCATTCCTCCAAAACCACTACACAGCTCTATGACCTCATGCATCGTATGCCATGACGGGGGATCATGACGGAAAACATGGGATTGCTCGTCCAACACCAGCCATGGTAAAGGAAACTGTTTCCTGAACTGAGCATTGACCAGAGAAAACGTGGAACCAATCCCTTCCAGTAATCCAGTCAAATGAAACTTGGCACCCTCATGCTTGGAAATCAGAAGATGAGCATCATGATTGCTGTCCCAACACTGTAAACTTGCTACCAGTGAAATTCGTTGGCCTTCATCGCAGCACCTGAACAACGGAGGTAGATCCAATGCCATGGGGGAAAAGAAAACCTGGGATGACAAGCCTGCCCTCGTTTGGCCCGCACCGCTGCACTTGCTGGTAAGTGATTTGGGCCCTCGCAGCTTTCCAAACCACCAACCAGATATTTCATTAACCACTATTAACCACTATTAACCACTATAAATGTCTGTGTTTTCCATGAGTTTTCCATCTAAAAATATCCCCATATATCCCCACCCATCGTTGCTGGTCATCCCCACCTGCGTGCTTCTCGCGGATGGGCTTCTCCAGGGACTCATCCAAAGGCTGCGGGCACAGCGCGTTGCAGATCAGCAGCAGGACGTACATCTGGTCCTGCTGTGCTTCGCCGGGTTCGCCACCAATGGACCAAGTCAATGGAGGTTGAATTTGTTGGGAAAATCAACTAGACATAATTAATTACTGTAGAATTGTAGAGATATCTATAAATGAACTATAAACATCCATAAATGAGAGATTATAGCTGGGATAATCAACTCGAAATATCTAAGAATGAGATATCTCCCAGCCACGGTTGATTACCGGAGGGTACATATAATCTATTGCTACGTACAATCTGTAAATTTGCATTGCAAGTATAATATAAGTCTAATATCCAAGAAGAAAATTATGTAATTTGGTCACATTTGGTTCAAATCCTCCCAGGTGTTTGCTCCCAAAAAGTAGTTAAGTGGGCAAGCAGTACTCCAATATCCAGAGTTTCAAAAGTGTTAAACTACAGGCATCAAAGAGAGAACACTTCAACTGGGGGCTGATCCCTGAAATCTTGAAGTTTGGCAGAGGTATTTGTTTATTACTTTTTATCCATCGTCCATCTGCTAAGCCAAACAAAAACTATGGCAAGTCATCCAAATATATATCTAAGTTTGTCTGTTCTATACTGTTCTATGGCTGGAAATCCTTTCAAATCCCCACCTTTGCTGCTGGTCTACAGAAAATCATTGAAACTCCATTTGATTCCGGCTTCAATCTGGTCAACCCCCACTTTTGCTAGTAAAAACACATCAAATTTTAAAAATCCTCAGTTTTGATGCGCAACACCCTGAGTTCCTTTTTTTTTTTGTTGGTTGGTCCTGCTTCTTCAGCATCTGATCATACTGATAAGACAGGGAGTTCACTGCGCTGATCTTCGACAGGAAGACCAAGATGTCTTGGAAGGTGCGCGAGGCGTCCACATATCTGCGCATCATCATGTACCTGGTGAGGAAAATGCGGAAAATGCTGACTTTCTCCAGCAAAAAAAAGGGGGATTTGCCCAAGAAAATGGAGGATTTATGCATATTTATGCCATAAAATTGCAGGAATATCCACACCAAGTTCCAAACCAAATTGCGGGATTTCTAGGATTTACCAAGCAAAATGGCTGGGATTTCAGGTGGGAAATTCAGTGGGATTTTGTGCGGCCGTGCGGATCTGAAGATTTAAGGAACAAACCAACGTGGTGGATTTAACCTAAGTTTCTGTGAACAAATCGGGTACCCCCAAATCTGGTGTCATGATTTTGCTGATCGTCCCTATCTATGTTTTGCACCTTCGTTTGGTGTTCAATGTTTTTAAGGACAAAACATCTTTGAACATATCAAATCATATCTAATATCCAATCAACTGAACAGATTTCACACAGCAAAAAACAAACAGTGTTGCTTTCTTGTTAAAACTCTATTCTTTAGCATCCTAAAACATGGGGATTTCAGCAACGAACATGTGAAGTACCCGGCCAGCTGGTGGGGATTCAATGAACCATACAGTTAGGCCATGGGTGGAAAAGTCAACAAATCTGGCCATTGACCTAATTGCAAACTAGATTGAAATCAACGCAACCTAACACAACTATACCTGCCAGGGTTCAAAGCAACAGGAACAAGGGGAAGAGGTTTGAACAAAGCATCCTTTAAACATACGTTCCATTTGTTTACTCTTCGCTCTGGGCTTGCAAACTGTAAATCGCAAATCAAAAATAGTATTAACTATCACAATTAACTATCATAACGTAGATCGCAAACCTAAACTAAGCCCATTGATCAGGATTCCCCTGAGAATCATACATATATATATATATAAAATATACATGGGTTTCATTAGCCAGGAACTGTCATCTGGTTCCCACATTCCGATATGGGTTTGTCTTAAAATAGGGTAACCCCAAATCCCATGGTTAATCATCATGTTTCCTCTTAAATGGCAAATTGGGGGTAATATCCATTTTCAGAGACACCCATATATCTAGATGCCCCTCCAGATGCCATTGAAGACCCTCTGGATCGCAACATCCACTCTCTCAAATCCCGCTGGCAAATCAAATGATGTGCAGGGAAGATCGGAGACGATCCAACAGTAGGGCATCTGGGCTCAGCATTGTTTCAATCGGGATGTTTAGGATCCCTGGCGCTCATTGGGTCTCTGAACATCAATTCAAGTTGATAAGTTGTATGCCCTCCGGTTATTTAGCAGTCTATGGAAAATAGTCCACTTATAGATTATTCACCCCGCTTCGCGTGGGGTGGCCGCCCACACCGCAGGTTTATTTCGGTCCGTGAGAGGGGCTAAGGGTGGTTTTCCCCCGTGGGGGCTCTTCAAATAAGAAATCCTTCCAAAACATTGTTTTTGACAGTGTTTTTCCAATGTTTCCAGTCAAACAGACGGTAATTTACACGTTTTTTGCCATAAAGGCAGTAAATCCTTCCAAAACATTGCTTTTGACAGTGTTTTTGTAATGTTTCCAGTCAAGCATACGGTAATTTACACGTTTTTTGCTATAACGTCAGTCCAAAACACTTGTTTTTGCAGTGTTTTCAATGCTCTGGCATCCAAAAACCCTGCAAAATCTTGCTATGTACATTTTTTTTTCATTTTTGGCCGTTTTTCCATTGCCGGAAAGCTACCAAAATGACCCAAAATTCCATTTCAATACCCTCTTGCGCTCAGACACCCAAAAATCCTCGAAAAATGTCGAAAACACCACCGTATTCTGGTCTCGGTGCGAAACCGTTTTTGGGGTCTGGTCTCGGTGCGAAACCGTTTTTGGCCCCCCCCCCCCAGCTAAAGCTGATATAGCGACTGCTATATTAACAAATGTCATTGAGCATTTAGTGTTGCTGTTGCCCCCCAATAAGCACGCCTTCACCGCCAAAGCGGTGTGGGCGGATTTACCCACTATCTGTTAAGATGACATCTTCAATTTGATGTTGCTCCAACAATTCAAACGTCTGGAAATCCAACATGACGTGCTGGAAAAACCTGCCGGACATCCCATGGATTTTCCAGTGCCATGGTTACCCTATCGCTGGGGCTTCATCCCAAACAAGGGGAAGGTGAAATGGTCATGGGCATATCTTGCCCATTTCTGGGCAAAACGATTTCATGTTGTTGGTTAAACTCTCCTATCATATTCTACTATTACATCATATTACATCCCACTAGTTGTCCCAGGAAAAAATCCCACTGATTCCGAAAAAACTACATCCACCATGTCATCCCCATGTCAACCAACCGGTCACGCGAAGCCCAGGTAGTAGAAGACGGTCACGTGGCACGCGGGAATGCGATAGAAGAGTGGCACCTGCTGCCGTGGGTGCCATCAGGACATCGTGGGACGAAAAAAAGGTGTCGTTATCCCACAGGATTCCTTTAAAAAAAGCTATTGAACATGGCCATTTATAGTGAGTTTACCCATTAAAAATGGTAATTTTCCATAGTTGACACGGGTTGGTGGTTTTAACCATCTTGAAACATATGAAAGTCAATGGGAAGGATTATCCCATATATGAAATGGAAAATAAAAAATGTTTGAAACCACCAACCAGTATATAACCAGTATAGCATCGGTAACTTGACATACTAAGGAAAAAGGGACCAGTTGTTAATCTACCTATTCAACATAGTGATTTTCAATGGCTATCTTAAATTACCAGTCAGTAATTGCTAGTTGTGGGAGGATGACCATCCCTTTATAGGAGCATTAATCAAACAGGTTAATTCATGGCACATCTGGTTATTGGAGGACCCGGAGATCGTAATGGGATAACATCTGCTAACATCTGCTAACATTGGGTGTTTGAGACACCAATCATGGATATCAATCTGCCTTTAACAGAAATTCTCTTGCTTTTCGCCCAGGCCGTTGCCCAATTTTGCCCATGATATTTCGGATCACCCAGGTGGACTCAGAAAAAAACCGTGGGATCCTGGATGCCACACCCCTGGGAGGATCCAAGCGATCCCAGGTGAGAACGAGCACGGATCCGTCGTCATTTTCGGTAGCGTGGGGGTAGTCATTTTTGGTGTTGCTCCTCTTTAAGCTTTGGCAATCAAACAATTTCGCTGCAACCCTGACATTTAACTCTGGTGTGGAAGGCTGGCGCATTTCCAAAAGTCTATCAGGTAAATCTGTTAATATAAATGCCCATTCAATATATTGTTCAGAGATGTTCAGAGAGGGCGCCGAATTTGATCCCTTATGAAGATAAGTGGTGGGCGAACGTCCGGGTTGGAGACAACAAATTTGATAAATAATAATATAATAAACAAGACATGATCCCAACATATTGACAGATCAACCTACCAAACCAGAGTTTACCCAGTGATTAGTTGCATGTTCCGTGAAATTACGCCATTTAGCAAACCAGTCATGACCGATCTCGTCACTTAGCCAGTCATTTGGGAGACCCTGGCCCACCTCAGCCCTGAAGTCGATGCTCTCGATGGTTTCCTCAGCAAAATTCGGTGGATATCGGATACCCATGGAATTCCAATGGGAACATGCACATTCCAATGGGATTCCAATGGATATGCAGAATGACATCATGTTATTACCATCTCAAACATGCGCTGAGTCTAAGTTTTCTTGGATGGAATCGGATTCCATATTTTGAGACAACGTAATTCATATTCAATTACTTAACTAATTGGTATAGATGTTCATTTGAGCCCCTTTTCTGTTTAAATTCCTGATTTTGTTGGTTGAGTCCCATTCGTTCCTGCATGAACATGCTTGAACTATGCCTAAGTCTGACATTCTTCAGGTTGATCTTCATTTTTTGGTTGAAACATTGTCTTGTTGCTTAACTTACCCCATCTGGTGAAATGATTCCCCAACTGTGTTGGGGTGTTGATCTCATGGAGTTATATAAATCTCCATATTTCTCGGCGCGTGAACCCCTCCTTTCTGTGGCCTGTCATCTTTTCACCTCCAACAAAAACCAACTTAACTTGAGGTTCCCCCAGCACGTCATCCCTTATCCTAATATATTGCCTTATATATCATATCCCCCACATTATAATTACATTGGACCCCAAGTCATAGATCCAATCCATTCCACCCACACCAACCATCATAGAATTCAGCTGGGGAAGGCCCCCATGGCGATCTACCACCCGTCATGGATGTCATGGCACCATGGCAAGGCGGTAGTCGCCCAACAAACTGTGCATTCGCAGCAATTGCATCAGGGCGAAGTAGCCGATGAGTCGTGTGGACTCGTCCTAGGTTCCCAGCGGACACATCATGACCGTCTCGACCCCTGCTTGATACTGGTGGAAACGCAGCTGGGGTGATAAATGAGTGTAACATGTGTAACCATGGTAAAAACCAACACAAGTAACCGACGTATCCAGAAGTTTGTATACTGTACATATCCCCTAGAACTATGATTGTAAAATCATTTATAACTGGAACTGCAGCCTGAAGTAGGAGCTTTTTAATAAAACGAGCTGAAAAGTACGAGCTATAGCCCTTTGATGCCCTTTGCACATTTTTTGAATATTAGTTTTATTTTTTTTTTAAATAAATGATAATTCAAATTATTGGATGATTTCCCATTGAACATGTGGCGTTTCCACCAGTTCCCATGGTTTCTGCGTCATTCATCCCACCGATCTGGATCCATGGGCCCCGGACAGTGAAGGCTGCGCCTCCCAGGAGCCATTTTTTGGGCATGGTCTACATGGCTGGTGGATGCTCTGCAAGGAAGGGGAAAAAAACTATGTCTCAAAAATATGTCTCCCGATTTATGGCAGACAATCAACGTATAATTAGTATAATTATCATGTCCAAGTCCAAACTTATAGCGTTGAGATTTAAGGCACCAAAGTTTCCATTCCACGTTGATCCCAAGGAACGGGCCCGGGAACATGTGGATTTCAAGCTGGTGCCACTGGACCAAGCCGACCAGTCACCAAGCCGGGGGAGTGTTCAAAGAAATGAACAAATCTTAGCATGATTGCGACCAACATGGAAGAAATCAGAAAGATCACCTGTACAACTTGCTGGTCTGGTGATCCCTGCTAAAATAATAGAGCCTTTTGTTGGCGTATGTGGTTTGCATCCTTTTCTTTGCCACTCACCATCTGAGTGCTCATCCCGCTAAGGTCTACCCGGGTCCCCTCTGTTGAACTGACCTGCCAAATCCTGCCAATAGAATTAGGCATGGTTGTCTCAACATGTGGAACCCCCTTCAATCCCATGAAGACTACAAGTTTGGGGCATACATGATTTTAAAATAACATAAATTAATATCAAATAAACCTGGATTGCATATTGGAATCATAGTACTCTTGCAACATTGGTTTACTCTCTGGTAATCAAACATCGAAATAGCAAATCCACCATTTATACCATTTTTTGCCATTCAGCCATGCCCCATTTGAGGTTCACGGACTTCCCAGCGTCAACGAAAAAAATCTTTCCGCCTTGACCGTTGCCACCCTCGGGGTCGGCTAACCACTCTTCGATCAAGGAGAAGCGCACCAACTGGTGCAGGTAATTCAACACCTGAGCAGTGGGAGATGATGGCAGAATGATATGGACATATTTGATCATATTTCACTATAGTGAAATATCCATGGGATTATAAGTGAAGTATTTTCTTCCAGTGATTTCCGCCCTGACACATTATTCTGACATAGTTTCTGACATACCATCTCGAAGTATATATTGGATATACATTCTGACATTCTATTCTGACAGACATGGGCAGTGCTCACTGACCTCTGGAGCTCAGGGTTGAGGTCCGGCAGTGCCCACTGATTTCCGGAACTTGCAGTTGCCAGAGGAGGAGAAGAAGAAGAAGAAGAACAAGGAGAAGAAGGAGAAGGAACTCTAATCAAATCTAGAGACCCTCACCTGGCAGGTGGGGGAGGAAAAAAACATATATAATTAATTTGAGCAAAACTAAATGTTAGTCGTGTTCAATTTTATGCTCAAACAACGAACACTGGATGGAGCTCCAAACATGGGGATTTTGCTTTGCTGCTAACAGGGCAGAAACAAACGAGGATGCAACATGATATTATGGGGGTGGGAGTCAGGAGCTATGACTTCCCATTGTCTTTTTTGATATAATTGCAGCACTAGCATAGCTTTAGAGTGCGGGATAGTTGGATTACTTGTATCTCGGGAAACAGAAGCACCCTACAAATGAAAAAAACAACAACCAAAATTGTGTGTGTTTCCTAAGAGTGTTGGGACTGTTCCGTTGCTCACTCTTTCTTTCAAGGATCGACATAGAAACATGGCAGAAACACAAACAAGAGAACAGAGCAGTATACAGTATATATATATATATAGTTTACTTTTTCCACTATTGGCCAATAAATCACAAAGCATGCTCAAGCAAGGTTCACTCAAACAGGGGATTCAGGATTCAAACCCTGCAGTCTTGGCCCCAGCTTGTTAGGAGAGAATGAGCCAGGTTTACCAACGAATTTGAATGGGGCCCACACAACCAAAACATGTCCCTTGAATGGACTGAGACCTTGACGATGTCCAATACAAACATAGGTTTGATATCTGAAAAAAGTGACCAAAAATTGTGGTCCCCTGTGTCTTACTTTTGACCATCAAGATGGAAAGCTTTCATTACCATAAATTACCATAGATACCCTCCCACGAAGTTATACTTTGGCAGGGTAGAAAATATGCTTGTTCGTGGCAAAAATCACATATATGCACAGACAAACTTTTACGGCTAACGGCTAGGGCACATGTTGTACCTCCAGTTCCACGGATAACAGGCAAAATCCCATGCAAAATCCCATGGCTTATGACCTCACCCACCTTGGTGGTCTCAAAGATTCCGGGATTGTCCCTCAACTCCTTCACCTCCTTCTCCTGGCACGCGCACGGGGCTCAGGTCTTCTGCCATTACCCTCTGGTTATTTAACATAACTATGGAAAATAGATCAATTACAGACGATTCATGATGAATTACCTATTAAAAATGGTGATTTACATGGCTATGTTAAATTAGCATAGGATAGCTACAACGAATTTCCAACCCAAACCCATGGAACGCAGGCGCCGCATCGGGTCGGAGACCTTCTGCATCTTGGCGGTCTTGTGGCAGTAGGTGCTATAGGTCCTGGCGTTGATATCTACTGTAAATCATGATGCTTTCTGGGAAAAAACAACATGGGAATTATAGAATTCAACAAAAAAACAAGGGGGATGAACCAGCTACACAATTCAAGGCGAGAACTTTGCTGGATGGTCCTCTTTTGATGGCAGATCATTCTGAAAACGCCAGTTTGTGATTTTGAATCTATGAATCTGAAGAAGCCGTAAACTCATGCCCTTTTGGAAACAACCAAAATTGTGGTGTTGCCGCTGCTCGTACCATTGCCTTTGACAGAGCTTCTATTGTGTTGTGTGCACAGAGGGTTAATCATAGATGATGGACTAGAAAGTCTTACTGACATGAACGGCAAATGGATAGGTTACGCGTGCAGGAGTTGGTCACGCGTCAAGTTTGGCACAACGGCAAAAGTCACACCATACTAGGTATCGGACCGGCATGATTAGCATTCTGCATGGCTGTTGGAAAGTCCATACAATCTACAACAAAAACCATTTGCAGTATGCGTCCTTGCAGTCTCACGTCCATCTTGAACACAATTATAAGATTCCATCCCAGTTGGCCGCCCCAGGATCATCTACATACAAGATCATACAAGGTGGGTTGCCAATGGCCAAAGGTAAATCTATAAACTTTATGTTATGTTCAGGGTGGATATATCACTGCCATGAGAACACCAACTATGAACCAACTGCCATGGACCACCTGGGATGATTCTGGAGTTCCCGACTGGTAGTGGTACACGAACTCATCCAGGATGTCCCACAGCCACTGGGCAGGCAACTGGATGCCAAGGTCCTAAGCGCATAGGATGGCATGGCGATCAGCTGTGAAGTCAAAAACAGTGGCCGGGCCTTTTGGGAGGTTTGGGATTGATGTCAAATAACTTTTGGCAAAGTTTGGCAACCAAAAAAGTTGAAGATGTTGATGAACAACACAAATTTTGAACAACAAGCATGGAAATTTCATCAGCAAGAAAGTTTGGATTTTCACATACAATAGGTGCTTTGACTCTAGCTCAAGGAACCAAGGTTTGTTGGAAACCCTTCTTGTTCTGCAGGACAAAAACACATCTTCCAGTGATTCTATGCCCCCAGATCAGCTTCCATCCCCCCACACCCCCCCAAGTTCTCCTCACCATCGGAGAGATTTTCAATCATCAAATCCAACAGCTGGGTGTAGTTCTTCCAGGACCCTACTCGATCCTGAAAGGTGGGCTCATGGCATCTCTAGGCTTGGATGGAACAATAAACACGTATAAACAAGTTATATATACCTGGAAAAAAAGCATCTTAGAGAACCCATCTAAAGAACTAATCAACATGAAGATGTGAGCAAGAGAACTGGAGCTGTAAACAAACATTCTGAAGAAAATATGTTTGAATCGTACAAGGCCAGCTGGTGAAATGACACCTATCTGCTTGGATGCTTTTCCCTTCAGTGATATTACATTGCCCACTTAGTGCGATGATTATCCCCATAGTTGTCCACTAAAATTCAGGATGTTGCAGCCACCTTAAATTGCCAGAGCGTAACAAAATGTAACAAAGGATTCTGAACAACCATCAGGGGGTTTCCTGAACTCTACAATTTCTTGATGACTACATCCTAGAAAGATGGAACAATCAAACAAATTGCTTGTTCAAGTCATGTCTAATGTTTGACACCCATGTTTTCTTTTCAAAGTCATAACATCACTGCTAAAAGAACTAAGAAAGCGCTCATCTCAACAATCAAAAACCATTTGCATCCATTTGCTATAAATAAAGCATGTATCATTGATGGACTATCAACCCATTTTAAGCATTTCCAATGGGACATTGGTTGGCTCTGCGCCCTGCCTCGAAGGACACAGGATTCAGCCTGGCGTAGATATGCCTCGGGCGGGCATTTTTCAGCTGGCGGATGTGGGCAACCCGACGACATTTTTACCATTTGGGGATGGTTTCAATCCCATCTACTGTATTCATGATCATACTGTGGATGGTTTATGATTGGACCACAATATACATATATACATATATATATATTATATATATACACATATATATATTATATATATTATATGTATATATATATATATATCATGTTTGGCACAATAAAACACTACTCAACAATGGCAAGGACCAACGCCATCAACAATGTAGAACTGTAAGGGCGGCTATAATCTGTTCATGCTGTTCGGGTAAATAGACTTGTAATAAAATGAACAGTGGCCTTTACTGTACTTTGCCGCATTATAAACAGGATATCGAGTGTGCATGAGTGTGCATTATATATGTATATGTGCATAATTATATATATATATACAAATGCATCATAGACATGTTGCACAAGAACAAGACACGTGGTATCTGATCGTGCAATGTTTCACCGCAGCATTGAAGCAACCGTCACCACCGCTCCATTGAGGCACTGACCTGTAGTAGAGCTCCTGTGGGCCAGGCAGTTCAACAACTTCTAGCGGCAACTTTACCGACAAAGCATGCTGAAAGTGGAAATCATATAAAGCTGGTAAAACAGTAGTATACTAAGTATACTATATATGGATATGTATGGTATATATGGAACATATCTTATTTTTTTTGGGGAACCAATATTGACCACTGCGATATGTTCCCATTGCCCATCACAGATAGAAAGCTGGTTGTGGATCAAAACCCTGCATGCCTAGCGGGAAAATCGGATTGAACCCAGTCCCTAATCCACATCAGTGGTGATTTCATCCTTATGCCCCCATCTTTGGATACAAAAAAAGAGAAAACATCCATCAGTGATACAATACATATAGACATGCATATTTAAACAATAGTTAATTCCCAAATTCATGATCATATACTTATACACACTTATACACCATGTTGTTTCCTCAGAAAAAAACCCGAGGCTTCCAGCCCATCCCCATCTTCCAAGGTCTCCTTGTAGAGGATCAAGAAGAGCGCCTCGTTTTGACCCAAGGCCTCTCCCACGGCATAGGCACTGGGCCACTTCCTGGGGAATCCATGGACAGATGCCAGAGTTCAGTGAGGATGGGACGAACAATTCTGTAACACATAGTCTTATTCTGTAAATCCCTAGTCTTAAATAGTTACTTGGGACTTGGGAGGTAATTTCTTCAAGTAGTCACTGATAATTTGGAAAACTCCCGTGATTGTTCAACCTTGTCTTTATGAATCCAGGCTTGGTATTCCACTACCAGCAGCTCCACTGGGATGGACGATGGACGGAAACATTGCAGCGACATGACATGGCGACCATTTCAGCTATTCACAACTCACAACTCGTATCGGCTCGTAATCCACCACGGTCATTACGCCGGTGTCATTTACAGTACTTTAAAACCGCACTATTGTTTGTGAAAAACTCCCAAAAAAACATCCACATGTCAGCTCCATTCGATGAATCCAACGGACCAACGGAACATGGTTTCCTGCTATATTAGGTTGGCTCTAGTCTAATTATATAAGATATGCTTTTGGAATGTCATTTCGAGGACCATATTTCCATCATAATTCACCCTAGAGTCTCGTGGCCGCAGGTACAGAATCCAGCCGGAGACCATAAATATGTTGTCAAAACCAGGGTGAAACCCATGTATACTGGATAGTTTCGTTTGATGTTCAGAATCCTTAGTTATAAACTCCTTGTAAATGGAAATACTAGACGACGGATGGCCCGAGAGCGTAGAGGAGCAGGGTCTTCTCTTGTTAGTATGGAGACACCATATTAGAAACAATATATTAACATATATTAAAGATGTGTTATAGGCAGTCGAGAAGAGGAGTATTAAGACAAAATAGTAGAAGTGCAAGACAATAGTTTGCATCGCAAACACTTTTACACACAGAAGCTTTTACACACAGAAACTTTTACGCGCAAAAGCTTTCACACACAGAAGCTTTTACAGACAGACACTTTCACACACAGACCCTTTTACGCACAGACGCTTGTACACACAAAAGCTTTTACACACAGAAGCTTTTACACACAGACGCTTTTACACAGACACTTTCACACACAAAGCTTTTACCCACAGAAGCTTTTACAGACAGAAGCTTTTACACACATACGCTTTTACACAGATGCTTTTACACACAGACACTTTTACACACAGACACTTTTATACACAGACGCTTGTACACACAAAAGCTTTTACACACAGAAGCTTTTACACAGACGCTTTTACACACAAAGCTTTTACCCACAGAAGCTTTTACATACAGAAGCTTTTACATACAGAAGCTTTTACACACAGACGCCTTTACACAGACACTTTTACACACAGACACTTTTACACACAGACACTTTTACACACAGACCCTTTTACACACAGGAGCTTTTACACACAGAAGCGTTGACACGCAGACGCTTTTACACACAAACGCTTTTACACACAGAAGCTTTTACACATAGACGCTTTAACGCACAGGCACTTTTACACACAAACACTTTTACATACAAACACGTTTGCACACAGACGCTTTTACACGCAGACGCTTTTACACACAGAAGCTTCTACACACAAACGCTTTTACACACAGACGCTTTTACAGACAGACGCTTTTACACACAGACGCTTTTACACACAGAAGCTTTTACACACAGAGGCTTTTACACACAAACACTTTTACACACAAACACTTTTACACACAGACGCTTTTACACACAGACGCTTTTACACACAGACGCTTTTACACACAGACGCTTTTACACACAGACGCTTTTACACACAGAAGCTTTTACACACAGAAGCTTTTACACACAAACACTTTTACACACAAACACTTTTACACACAGAGACTCTTATACACAGAGACTCTTATACCCAGACGCTTTTACACACAGACGCTTTTACACACAGACACGTCCGGCACAAGTAAAGTCGCAATTTTACCTCAGTTTTTGCGCATCGACCCTCATTTTGTGCGAAAGGGTTGCTCGGGGGCAAATAAAATTGCAATTTTACCTCAGTTTTTGCCGATCGACCCTCATTTCGTGCGAAAGGGTTGCTCCGGCACAAGTAAAATCGCAATTTTTCCATATTTTTCCTCAGTTTTTGGCGATCGACCCTCATTTCGTGCGAAAAAGTTGCTCCAGGTCCAGCACACGTAAAATCGCAATTTTACCTCAGTTTTTTGAAGATCGACCCTCATTTCGTGCGAAAGGGTTGCTCCGGGACAAGTAAAATCGCAATTTTACCGCAGTTTTTGGCGACCAACCCTCATTTCGTGCGAAAGGGTTGCTCCGGCACAAGTAAAATCGCAATTTTACCTCAGTTTTTGCCGATCGACCCTCATTTCGTGCGAAAGGGTTGCTCCAGGGCAAGTCAAATCGCAATTTTACCTCAGTTTTTGACAATCGACCCTCATTTCGTGCGAAAGGGTTGCTCCAGCACAAGTAAAATCGCAATTTTACCTCAGTTTTTGACGATCGACCCTCATTTCGTGCGAAAGGGTTCACGTTTCGTGACTTCCCGCCGGCACCACCCTCGGCCTAAAGAGAGAAAGATAAAGAAGGCGAGAGAGAGAAAAGGGAGAGAGAAAGGAGAGAAGATGTGAAGATGAGCAGATGTGAGAGAAGATGTGAAGATGAGCAGATGTGAAGATGAGCAGATGTGAGAGAAGATATAAAGATGAGCAGATGTGAAGATGAGCAGATGTGAGAGAAGATCTGAAGATGAGCAGATGTGAAGATGAGCAGATGTGAAAATGAGAAGGTGTGAAGATGAGAAGATGAGATACAGACCCCCACTATTGGAAGAACCCTGCGCTCAGACGCTCTCGGGAATAAACCCCAACAAACGACCATCATTTGGGGGTTCCATGGGGTTCCACCGCTGCGAAAGTCATGATCCAACTGTGTAATGTATGATTATCTATACGTCAAAATCAACAAATCACCAAGTTCACCACAAACACCCCATGCACATGTGATATGCATCTATATGTTGATCTATCTATTGATCTATCAATCTATCTATATGTTTATTGATCTGTCTATCTATCTGTCTATCTATTTACTGTATCTCTATATATATATATACACATACATATTATATGTAATTATATATATATATCTATATTCCTATCTATCTATCTATCTATCGATCTATCTATCTATTTATCTAGATATATATCTATCGATCGATCTAATTCTATAT